AGAGGTGGCAGTAGTACGAAGTGTCTGTAAGAAGAGGCACGGAGCACAGCCTGTAGGAAACTGAACCCACCCTAGAAACAAGGAGGATATTTTCCAAAAGCACTAGAATGTGGTCACTCTAGTTGGTGAGCCACTTATATATATGAAAAAAGTCACCTTTACTTTTAGAAAGCATCATTTCAGCACCTGCACCAGCTCACATGCAATCCTGCCCGTGTATACCTGTGCCTATCTTAACCCAGATGCAATGCTCTCCATTTAATCTCAGATATGTTATAAAGTGTCCGAGCAGGTAACCTTAGAGCCGTTTCTTTTTTTAAATAAAGGCTCATAGAATACATAACTATGGAAGTGCTTTTTTAAAAGTCCCAACTGTCAAAGGGCACAAGGACAAAGGGCTGCTGTCAGGTGCTGTAAGACACCTGATCAGAAACCAAAGTCTCCAAAGCCACAAGAGACATCCTCTAAAATAGAAAATGATGGGCCACTCAGTGGGGACAAGACATGGCACATCAACATTATTTAGGCTACCAGGAGCCCACCATGAAGCCCTATCCAAGCAGAACACTCTCCCCCATTTCTGGGCTCAGCCTTGCAGAGGTGCCCCCCATCCCTCAGGTCTGGACCCGAGCACACTTGTGTTAGCTCCTGCTACGTGCATAAAGCCTGGAGGCTGGTGTCTGTAGCTCCAGATTTGGAAGGAAGAGATCACAGCACTGTAATTACTTGAGCTGGAAGCTTCCAGCCCAGCTGATTTGTCCTGTCATTTAATACCCACTTGTTTCCAAACGCACGGGCCCAGGCAGAGTCGAGGGCTCTGCATTGCACACAGCCCTGCAAGAGATTTTCCATGGCTAATAAGATCACAATGAAACTGATATTACAACTTAAACTGGGGGTTACAGAAAGCCAAGACAATAAATCCACTCAGCTTCAGAGAGCCTGAAGAAGCGTGACCTTTTCCCCATGGTTTACAACACAGGAGACTGAGGAGAGCACCCCTTCCAATTACATTACACTTTTATTTACCTACTCTACCAGGGGGTGGCCTTTAAATTCCTCTTTTTTTGGGATTCTGCTCAGGCAGCAGGAGTCACGTCCTACTCGAAGGGAAGGGTTTGCCAACGGCCTCACACGAGCCCTGCACCTTGCCTTGGTTATCGCTTTCCCCGTCCTGCACTCGAAGCCCTCCCGTGTGATGAGATGCACATGTTTGGTCTTCCTGCTGGATTAGGAGGTCTTTAAGGCAGGTATCATCTTTTTGAGCCCTGACTGTACAGTATCTGACACAACCAGAGCCCAACCCTTGTCTGGAGTTCCTGATCGCCGTGGTAATGAAGATATTTCATTTCCAGCTGTACACTGAAGAGTCGGCTCTCAATTATCTGGGGTAACCAAAGGATAAATATCTAACAGAAGGCAAAAAATATGGTTAAAGAGGCATGTAATTTACACTGAACACAACGTGCTTTTATAGCTCATGGAGAAAATTAAGTTATTGAAGGAAACATGCTCCCTGCCTTCTGCTGGGCCTACTGACCACATGCTCATGGAAAGGTTCGAGCCCACAGGAAATATTTCCTTTTACTTTTTTTTTGAGGAATGATTAGGCTTGGGACCACCACTTCGAGCTGCCTCCAAGGGAAGGCTCCCTCATCTCAGTGCAGAGCCCCTACTCTTGGATTCAAGGACAAATCTCCTCCTTTCAGGAAACAACGGTAGTCACGGGAACAGGCTCAGGCACCCAGCAGCCCCCCGGCACCACCACAACCACTGCCATGAAAGGGGATGAGCTGCCCCCCCCCCCCCCCCAGCACAGCTTGCAGAGCCCAGGAGGTGCTCGGCTGCCCTATATAGAAGATGAGTGGGTGAGGATTGCACCCTCCCCACTCACACCCAGAGCCTAACTGCCCTAAAGTCCCTTTACAAGCAAAATACAGACTTCAACAAATCCATATTTGCACAAACCTGTGTTTTTTTGTTTTTTTTTTTGTTTTTTTACCAGCCACTAAACATCACACAGACTACTTGCAGACATGTCCCCCTTTTCCTTGCCTTCTAGCAGAACAAAATATGATTTACATTCTGTTTGCAGGCGAATCAAGTAAAATGCTTAATTATAAATAGCACTTGTAAATATAATCCTTTCAGCTGGAATATTTGTACCGGGGAAGTGACAGAGCTTAGTAATGACTCCAGTTACAGAGCTCAATTAGCCCCTGTTTCTCATCCCAGCACCGGCTGGAGCACAACGCCCTGGTGCAAGCTTGCACACACACATGGGGCCACAAAGCACCACGGAGCAAACCCACATCAGGTGCTGGGCATGCAGACACCACCAGTTTTAGTGACACCATGACAGCTCGCAGCAGTCGAGGATCTATCCCCCAAAAGATATGTGGTCCCCATCATACCAGAAGATTAGCTCCATTATTTTTATTTATGTAGAGCTGAAACACACTTTCTAAAGCCAAGTCTGCGTTCAGCAGATGAAATATTTTATAACCTAGCCACCAAGGTTATGGAAAGGTGGAGGGGGATGTATATCAATATTGATAAGATTTTTTTTCCCCCTAGATATATTTACTAGGCTGGATCATCTTCTACAGGTAATAGAGCAGAAGATATCACCTCTATCGCTCAGACATCATGAGAAGATACCAAGCTGGAAAGCTCTGACCAAACAAGTCCCAGCCTTGAGGCCCCCAAAACCTGCTAGATCATGCGGAGTTTGAACTACAGACTGAAGATGGCATGTAAGAGCTAAGAGGACTCCATGATAAAAAGCTGCAAACATTTCAGTCAGGAGAAAGTGTTCATTGCATCTACTGTGCCGGGAAAGCTGAAGTACAAATGACAACAGGAGAAGGAAAAAAAAGACAAACATTTCATTTCATATAACTAGCTCCACCCCACCTTTTCAACTAACTTTTGAAGTTGGATCTGTTTGTGAGAGTTTGGCCCTGCTCTTTGCTGTTCAGGTGACGGCCTCTGCCATCACAGCTCGATGTATGATAACAAACACAGGACCATACATGGTTATTCCAATATCAGAGATTACATAGAAGTGGCATTTGCATGAATTGATTTCAAAACAAAAGGTTTTCATTTTTATGACACTATCTTTTCATCAATAACAATATATATATATATATATATTTTATAAATAAATCTGAGTTAAAAAAAAAAAAAAAAAACTTTACAGACCTTTACAGACTCCAAGCATTAGCTGCTGGCGAGCCTGGCTGCCTTAGCTCACGCAAACAAACTTCACCTGGGCAAGTTACTCCTGTGAGGTCTCACCTGGGGCTTCACACCATAGCATGAGAATTCACAGAAGATGAGAAGCCAGCTAGGTTGTGTCCTCTGGGACAACGAGCACCGTCCTGACCTTCCTATGTCCACGTGTCCCAGCACAGCAGCTCCCTGAGGTCTCCTCTCCATCTCCTCCGAAACGCCAGAGCCGTACACGGCTTAGCCAGGAACAGAAGGGAGAGCCCCAGCCCTGCCAGCATTTATGATCTGAGGGATTAACCCCACCACGAGCACTTCAGATTCATACCTAATACTCGAGGCATGCAGATATCTGCACTATGCTGGAGCTATTCCACAGGGAACAGCACAGGGAGTACTGAAACGCACTGAATGACAAAAACACCCTGATTTCACAGATCTAAGACAACTTAAACCAATGAAACCAAACCACCGCTGGCAGATCTGCAGCAATGCAAGGTGCCAGAGGCAGCTCCAGGTTCGGGTGCACCAGCTGGAGGTACTTAGGGAGGATTTTGCCCTGAAAAAAGAGGCAGCCCTTGGTTAACCAAGGAGCAATACACCTTCCTAACAGCAACCACAAAGGCAAATCTCACAAAGGGCAAAAGCTGCCAGAGCTTGAGAGCTTTGCTGAAGCAGGGCCTAATGCCTCTCAGCTTGGACAGGCTCTGAGCTCCTCCAAGAAGCACTCAGCAGCTTCAAATCCCTGTTTCTACTTTAGGAAGTAAAAGGCACAAGAGACAAATACCTTTTAAAAGACACTGTTTCTGTCTATTAGCCCAATATACTCGTTAAACAACCCGCTGAGGACAGTAAAAATAAACAAACAGACGTTTGGATGGGCTGATTTGCACCTTTGGAGAGATCTACCAGCAGCGATTACACAGGTGGTTAACTTTAGGGAGAAACTTCATCTTCTTATTAAGAAAAAGGAACACAATTATAATATTGGTGTGAAATAATTTGTCCCACATTTGGTGTTTCTCTCTCTCTGTGTCAGTTTATTGCTTCAGAATTATTTATCTCATTATTTATCTGTTTTTGAAGGACATCTTTTTGTGCCTTCGAGCCACTCTATTCATTAGTTCTCCAGAGCTCGTGTCCCATTTCATTATATTTTAATCTTTACAGTTGTTAATTTGCATTTCATTTCCTGTAGTAGCAAAAAATTACTAACAAAAAAGTTATTGTAAATATTAATACAAGTCAACTGATAATCATCCAAGGAAGCATTTCACAGCGGTAGCAATTGCCTGTGTCCAAGGCAGGAAAAAAAGCAATTCGAGCAGCTAGAGAGGAGAAACACTTCAGGCTGAGGGCACGGCACCTTCTGGGAAGTATAGGCCAGGCCACTGCAAAGCAGCACTCCTAATTAACGAGGTCTTACATGGAAAAGAAAATGCCTGGAAAAAAAAGCAAGCCCTGGTTGGTAGCCAGGACACCTAGAGTCCATCAGGAGCTGAGCTACTTTAGCCTCTCCACAGCCTGTTAGCACAAGCAACTGGTTCGCTAGCACCCCAACTGTAACACTCACCTACAAAAACTAACAAAAGCACCGTGCCAAGCCAAAGGAGACAACCCTACAGCAGCAAACTCAACAAAGCAGGCAGGTGAGGCTTCCTCCTCCACGCACAGCCTTTGCTCCCAGCATCACGCTACGCCAAGTTCAGTTCTCATTTTGAGAGACACATTCAACACCGCTTAAACAACAACAAAAAGTAACTCACTCAGATCTAAGCCATCGTCCTGCAGGCTCCGAGCTTTGCTTGTGGTGTTCTGGGGATGGGGCAAAGGAAGCCAGTAACAACCCCAATTCAGGTGCGCTGCCTCAGCCCAAATAGATCACGGTGTTTTGGAGGAGGGTAACTATCCTCGTTAGATAAATATAAGGCAGGCTTGTAAATACATTAGCTTTAATGGAGAAAAGCACTGAGTCACTCAAAGCTTGTGAGTGGAAGCCCGAGCTCTGGCTGGCTCCCTAATTAACCTCCCGCAGCCGCACAGCGCGCTGCCAGGAGCTACAAAGGACGAGCACTGCCAGGAGCTGCTCACTAGAAAACCTCCACAAAGGAGACAAGCGGAGCTCGGGGTCTGGTATTTAGGCTCGCACCTTTGTAACTCTGCTTGTACTCCTCGTTTTATCCCTTAGAGAACACCACCAGGCACGTTCCCTGGCTTGGGGTTTCCACTGTCACCAAGTGTCCCCAGCGCACGGCTGCTATCGGGAGGGGAGCAGTCACGGTGCAGCAGCGACAGCCAGGTTTGGAGCAGAGCCTGCAGAAGCCCAGTGCAGGCACCCAGCTCCCAGGTGCTGTGGGGAGGATCGCCTCCAGCTCCTCACGCTTGCTGCACCTTTGTAAGAACTCCAGCTTTGTACCAGGACATCCATCGGGGCTGTTCCTCCGAGCAGCTGCAGCTCCTGCCCACCCATCACAGCACGGTGCTCTCCTAGCTGTGCTGCATGCACAACTAACACAGCTGTAGGGGCTTCACTGATATAAAAAATAAATAAATACATAGATGAGGTGCTTCTCTTTATGGTCCCCCTCTCCAGTTCCTTGGGGTTTCCACAGCTGATGTGCCAGGACCAGTTCTCCACCCCAAACACACGCACAGACCCCTTTGCAGCTGTTTCCATTCACAGCAGCCACCCGAAGGGGCTGTTGGAAAACAAAATGCCCAAATTTTTGCCCCAATCAAGTCCTGAAGAGTGATCTGAGCAAAAAATGAAACCCACATGATGAAGAGCCAAAGAAGTACTGTGGGAGGTGTCTGTAACGCACCAGCATAAAATTAAGAAGAAATGGAAGAAGCAAATGCAGACCTAGATGGCTGCTGAGTCTTTGCTGTGTAGAAAACAACCATTTCACATTGCTGTAAGTGCACCTTTCGTGCATCATTTCCCTTGTACTTTTACACCAGTAGAAGGGGAAAAGGATCAAAACAGCCCTTGCTGCTGGAGCAGGTTGCCAGCGGCTGCAGCACAGGGCGAGGTGGGGGCAAGGAGCTGCCCACCTCCCACTCTGCTCCACGCTCCCGGGCATTACAGATCCCTGCAGCCCTCCTGCAGCAGGGCCACTCCTCCCTTTTTCCTTCCCCTGGCCCTCCAGAACCAGCACATTACATTACTGATTAAACTGACCTTTAAAAAAAATAGCATAAATAAATGGAAAAAAAAAAACTATCCCATACACTAAAATAGTTGTGGAAGTCTCCTGGTTTGACTTAATTATTCTCTGTAGAAAGACAAAAATCCTGAGCATTTTCATTAAAAAATTAAGAGCTTCATTCTGGAAAATAGAGACTTCCTTGATGGGAGACTGGAAATACCTTACTTTAATCATTAACTTAGCAAAGTTTTGGAGATGACTTTAGGTATGCATTGCCCCTTGCAGGAACAGGAGTCTCTTTCAGGGGAGTTTCAACCCTAAAGTCATTCCATGATTTTATTTTATTTTTCTCCCATGTCTTGGAGGAAGGGAGAGGGTGGAGGTGGGCAACAGAGATGTCCTGCTGCCCTGCCAAGCCCCTGGAGAACAGACCTGCTATGCTCTACAAAGGTATAAATTCCCAGAGAATTGGGAAAAACAGTGCTGACCGAACAGGTACAAGAGCAGCCTCCAGCCAAACGAGTATGGTATAAATTTAACGAGAATGACTGGCAGCCATGCAGGAAAAAAAATGGCATTAATGAAATCAAATAATGAAGCACCCAAGAATTAAATGGGATTTTGCAGCTGCAGGTTTCCTGCTGAGCAACGTCAATCTAACATCTGCCACCTCCCTACAGATAAAGTTCCCATCCCTAAAAAAAAAAATAATAAATAAATAAGGATCTCTACCCAGCACATCCTCTAGGCATGCTGGCTTCCCCCAGCACTTGTTCAGTGCCGCCGCCTGTCACCCAGCCCCACTTCCATCACCCTCCACCAGCCTTGCCCTGGGGGAAGCCATGTGCAGGAAGGGTCTCAGCAGCTTCAGGGAATCTTCAAATCCCCTAAAACAAATCCTTTCTGGAGTAATAGGCCAAATTCTGCTCTCGCTGGGTAAAGTCTGTAGCAACCTCTCTGCAGTCACTTGAGTGTTGCTGGGGTTTAGCGCGATGTAGCCAGAGGCAGGGAGGCTTTAGCTGACGGATAAACAAAGTTTGGCAGAGCCACCCCCAATTCTGCAGCTCTGCTTCTCAGGTGAGAAAAGCACACGCAAAAAGTTGAATCAAATAAAAGGAGATGAACATCTCCAGCAAGATGGAACAAGAACTAAAATAACAGAAACACACATCCAAGGGTTAGGCAACAGACATCAGCCCTGTTCCTGTTGTAAGAGCTCTGATCTGAGAAGAATTAATTCTCCTTTTCCCTTGTCCCAAGCTGGCAGAAGGCTCGGTAGCACCATGCAGACACAGCGCTGAGCAGGAAGCCAAGGCCCCGGCTCTGCCCAGCTTAAACGTTAAGCAACTGCACAATAAGCACCTTAATCGCCCTCCTTTCTGCTTTCCTACCTTCCTCTCCCCACCCCATCCCCATCCAATTTATTGCCATGGATCCTGAAAACCTTGGAAACAGCTCAGGTTTTAAAGCTGCTGAGACCACTGCCAATCCTTCCTACCCTATCCTCCCTTTCATTCCTGCTGGACCCAAACCCATCCCTGTCTGGCCTCGTCTTCTTCTTAGCTGCAGGCTCTCCAAAGCTTTCCCGGGCTTGTGCAGGGTTTGGTGGAGCCCTCCATCACGACCAGGTCCACAAAGCACTGCACGAATCAACAGATTTCTGCAATTATAACTTTGGTGACAAAAAGCAGCTATTTTCTACTAGACATCAAGAAATCCTCCCTTTTCACACAATGCAAAATCACACCCCATCGGGAGCCCTCTGTGCCCTGGGGTAAGCCCCAAGCAGCGTGGAAGGACGGATTTCCTTTGAGCCACCTTCCCCTGAGGCTGGTGGAGCTGTGTCCCTGCTCTCAGCGGGCACTGTGGGCACAGGGTGGGGGGGGAGCAGCTGCGGTCACCTCCCCATCACCCAGCGCTGGGCACGCAGCCTGACTTTGCCCCGTGAAACGATCATTAGTAATGATGCATCAGGAAGGTTTTGATGAGCGAATGATAAAAGTAAACAGGACACGGTAATAATCAGCCCTTATTTATAGCCGGGTGAAACGCCACAGTTGTCAATTTTGGAAAGTGACTTTGGAGGAACTTTTTTAAAGGGGAGACTGGGAACATTTCCCCCCTCCCGCCCGCAAACAGCCATAACCGTTATTGATAGCACTTCTCAACTGGCAGGTACATAGAACCAGAGGCTGCTATTTTGTGTCAAAATTGTTTTATGGTGCTATATTTCTCCTTGTTTAAGGCAGCACTACTCATTTACAACATTAAACAACGTGATTTATGTACTTTAACAGAGCTTACTACATTTAAATGTTTTAGGCATTTCGTTTTTACAAGATACCTTGTTCCAATATAATCAATGGGCTTTTTTCTTGGGCTGCAATAGGAATGCAGTTTGTGTTTTATAGGAAAATCAATACGAGAATTAATGGGTGACGAGCAAAGTAAATTGTAAAAAGTACAGAGGGGTTGGGAGATCTCTTTTGCTGCATCGATTCCATTAGCATCAGGCTGCCCAGTTGTGCACGGCTTCATATTTGATAAGCAAGCAGCAGACTTCATATTCTGCCGAGGACTCGGAGACAAAACAGGTGAAGTTCAGCACTGAAATAACTATGCCAAAGTCATTGAGGTTAAAGCAAGAATGGACACGAGCCAAGGCGGCCGCAGAAACACAAAGCACTCAGAAGCAGCAGCCATAAACATCAGGTGCTCGTGAGCAGGGCCCCTCTGACTTTTATGAAAGGCTGCGATACCTGAGTGATGACATTCTCGGCGGCTTTGTGCTGCTGGGTTATGTGTTTTGTAATTAATTCAAAAAATAAAAAATACAAATTACCTGAAGACAGCACTACTCACGGGTTTTCTTGCTGCTAGAGGAAAAGCAACATTAAAAAAGAAAGAAAAAGCTGCATGCAACCTGGATTTCTTGTTAAAAACATGAATAGGGAGGAGCTGTAGCAAGCTACAAGCAATGTACTCCAGAAAACATTTTTTTCTTGCCTCGGGCCTCTTTTCTTTCCTGAACTCTTGCTCTTAACACGAGTACTTGTGCTAGTGCCTCGAAAGGCACTCTTCAAATATTTCTCGAGTCTATTTCCCCACCAGAGACTCCTGGCACAGCCGAAGCAAAGCTGACCTGTGTGTGCATCAGGGGACAGAGAAGCCCCAGCCCCTTACACCTCCGAGGTCTGTGGTGCCACCATCAGTGTCCCCTGCGACTAGATGGATGCCACCTGCACCTCACAGGGCTCCCCCTGCAGCCCTCGCATGCTCAGACTCAGAGAAAACCACCAGGTTTGGGTCACACGGGGCTGCAGACACTTCTCCGAGCGTCCAGTTACCTCTGGTACTCAGCAGTGAGACGTTTCCCTCTCGCAGGCTGTCCAACAAATGGCAGTGACGACCTTCCACACTCCGAAACATCGATGATCACTCTTGCTCTGCATTACAGATTAGATGCATCTGTTCATTTTGCTACATTACTTCTCAAAACTGACCCAATAAAGCAATTGCTTTTCAGATCAGGCTCCAGATATCTCACACTGCCAACAATAAAGCATTCCGGGGTGCTGTAACATCTGTTACCGTCCTCATCTCCTCCCTCTCCTTTGGGAAGATCCTTTCCATTTGCAGAACCACCAACAGGTTTTAACAGATCCCAGCAACGGGAGCCATGGCACGCGTTTTCTGCAGATATTCCAGATCATTTTTACACGTCACCTTCTTTCTCTTTTTGTTAGTTGAAGCCTGATAGCTTATTGTTCTTTGGGATGTACTTGGAGCAAAGGAATTTAATTATATTCCATTTCAAAACAAATTGTTGATACAGACTCGAAGTGTCAGTAATTAGATAATTTCACGGCGCACATTCCATTATCGCTGCCGTACTTAATGACTGTTTATTTGAAAAGTCCTTCTATCACTGCAGCTACCCTGGTACTAAATATAATAATGGATGGGGTGATTGGTAAGCTTCACCCATTGCTCTCATGCTTAAAGTAACGAGCTCTGGAGGAATTTCTGTTCAAATGTGGAGATTTAGATGGCAAGGATTAAAACGCCGGCCTTAATGAAATCAGTAATAAAACAGTCATTGACTTCCCGGGGTTTAAATGTAATCAGATCCTTACAAGTAAAGATGATTAGTGACTCAGACTACATATTAAATAAACAATTATCATGAACTCTAGCCTGAGTGCCAAGAGGACTAATATAGAAAGATCTCATTTATTCGCTCTTGGACTCCCTAACATGCTTAAAAATGCACAATACATGCCCCAAAACGTCCTACCACTGCTGGGCAGGGTGCGTGCCCTCAGCAGCCCCTGGCCTGGCTGCATGCAGCCCATTGCCATGGGCCTGGAGGCAAGCCCAGGGCCCCCAGCCACACCGGGTGAGGACAGGAGGCAGCACAGCAGAAGCCCTCCACCAGCTCCAGTCCCGGTGCTGGGCAAGGGCAGCTCCTGCAGCACCTTCCCCTCCTCGGGAAGGGCACTGCACCTTCCCTGTCCTCAGCTCCACACTTCTGCAGGCATAAAGGCACCAGGAGTTTGGGTCTGCACGCCACGAACATCCAGCACGCCCTGTCTGGAGCAAAGCACGAGCATTTCTGAGGCGCTTTCCGATGTCACAGATGTAGGAATTTTTTTAATGCTCATTTTTTTGCTTCTCTATTTTTTCAGAGTGAGATACGCAGATAATACAATGCATTTTTAATGATTCTATTAAAACACTGCGTTATTATCCAGCTATATTTTTGTCATAACTGATTTTGATTCCTTTTTAAGTTGTTGACATTTTTAGATACAGAGAGTACTGCTTCAACCACGCATACAAGTGTAGCGATTGCCATTCTCTTAGCACAGGATTTTATGATTCTGGCATTATTCAGTAAGGCATGGACTAAATTTACGCTTGCTTGCTGGGGTTGCTTTGAGGGAACACCAGCTGAAGTACCCACCAACACGCAGTGGTCTCAAACCCTAGCAGCTGGTGCACTGAAAGGAAAATGCAAGCATCATGATGGGGTTGATATTAAAAATAGTTAGATTTCAGCACGTTTAGCTTAGCAAAATGTTGTGTAAGTTCAACTTTCTGCTTTAAAAACCACTGCTTTATTGGTGAAATGGTGCATTACATTGGGAAATTGGAGGGAGCTCTATAAAGGACTTTGGTTTTGATCCACTTATCATAAAGGAGGAGGAATCAAGGTCTGTATTCTAAATGCACAGATTGAAGGGATGTGTTACTAGTAAAATGCCTTTAAAAAAAATGTGGGCAAGGAAAACACTGCCTACATTTTCAGACATAGCTCTTCAAAATGTATTAGGAGAAGTTTTTGCCCTGCATGCCAAGAATTACCCCCTTTAAATTAGGTATTAATTTGAACAGTGGAGCTAATTCAGTGATATTTCTGTCAGCACAAAATACAATGCCATGTTGTAATGTGATGGGGAAGAGAGACTCCACTCCTTAGTACTGAGGCAAGCGTTCTCTCACCATGACTTTGGCACCATCACCCACTCAGGAACACCTCTGTGCTCCCAGTGGCTTTTGGCATTGTTCTGGCTGGCCTTGTGCCTGCGTGCTGCTGCCAGTCCACCCAGCGTGCCAGCCAATAACCCAGGCAACATCAGCAACACACAATAACCTGCCTCTCCCTGGTTTTACCTGAGCAACAGCCCTGCCCCACCACTGGCTGCTGGAGCATTTTGCCAGATGTGCCATCTCTGAGCCTTCATCTTGTCACATTCTGGTGAGGCTGGGCAGGAGGTAATGAAGGAAGACAAAGCATGAGCTCTAAACCCTCATTTCCTTAAAAAAAATTAGGGCTGCGAGGAGAAGAGGGATCTAAATACAAAACATACAGAGGGATGTTGCAGCAACAGCTATCCGAATATGCAGGATGTCATCCGCAGCCTCCTTTTCCCTTAAGTAAAGAAACTGTCAGGTAATGGCCAAATCCATCAGGCGGTGCTATCAGCTGTGCTGCTGCCCATGCCTGCGCAGTGCAGCGTAAGCTCTGCTCCAAGACTTATGAAGCACTCCAAAATTTAGATTGTTCTCCATGAGGCGTGCTGAGATCTGGATATCATATTTCACTTTTTAATTAAAATATATTTTTCACTCCCGATCTACAGAAGGAAAAACAACATAAAAGTAATTGAGACTTCACGTTTCATATGTCAAATCATGATAGCTTTTCCTATTCACTGGCATGCCAAATAAGTACTTATAACAAGATTCACCATCAAAAGCAAGCACCCTCCTTTCCAAGGATGACGGAATCAGGCTTAGATAAAATAGGAACCAGCTCATGCTCAAAATGAATCCTGGTGTCAAGCTGCTGCACCTTTGCAAAGTCCTTCATCTCTAAAACCTGCCATACTTCATTACAGTATATGGTGAAATGCACCAGCCTCTCCAGGCATTTCGCAAAAATTACCTACTAAAGCAGACAGTGTTCAGAAATTAATGTCTTTAGTACCCATGAGCAGGACTGAGTCATATATTGCAGGCTGTAATTTCAAGGTCTCATTCATCCCTCCCTGGTATCAAGCATTTTGTTGCAGCCTTTTAGTGGAAGGCTTTTATTTCCACAAGCTTCTCTCCCACTATTACACCGTTACAAGAAAAAGCATAAAAAGCCAACAAAGGGAAGAAAAGAAAGTAGTTCCTGCACTTGGAAGGCATGCCGGGTCGGAAAGGGCATGAAGCCACGGGACGTGCGCCTGGCTGCAGCACAGAAGGGTTGTGCTCCTCGCAGGGAAGGACTTCACGGGGGCCTGGCCAGAAAGCAAGGCTTACATTTCCCTTCTACACACACACAGAAGCAACATTAACAATGAGGCTTCAACATCTGATTCTTATTTTTTCCCTTAAATTTTGGACAACCTCCCCTTTTTGCTGGGAAGAGAGCAGGAGCCTGCGCCTGGGATGAGCTTCCCTCCTAAAGCACACGGTGCCAAACTTACCGTGGTTTGAAGTGCATCTGCCTCGGCCATAAAGGTTCTTCAACTGCAAGGGTAATTTGGCAAGATGTGCTAGGAAATTTCAGAGAATATTGGACTGGATGGTGTAGAAATAATGATCAGCGTAGAAAGATTTGGAAGAAACCCGAGAGCGCTGTTGAGGAATGCCAGATTTGTCTGCTACATCAGCGTAATGGAGCACTTTCAAGACTAAATTAATTTTCTGCAAATTTCCTATGGCTTCCTGAGGATCAGAGCACAAGCACAATCTCCCAGCACCAACCCAAGCTCCCTTCCAAGAAAGCTTTTCTATTAGCAAGGTAAAGGATGTACGGAAAGCACAGTGCTTCACTTACATCAATTTGTGTACATTTGCAAAACTTTTCAAAAGCCAAGACCTGGTCTCAAGGCTGGGTAACTAGTAAAGGAGTGTTATTGTACCATCTAAGACATTAAAAACCTTTTCAATTACTGTCATTTAATTCCCTTATTATTTTCATTTGTTAGTTTCACCTCGTTTTGGACACGTTCTTTTATCTCTACATTACTTCTGATTAGTTCAGAGCCATGCTCTGATCATACCTAAAGTCTGTGGGTAGCTGGGACATCAGACCCAAAAGCAGAACTATTAGAAACCCCCCACTTAGCACGCTTTGTCTCATAGCTACTGGAAGGTTGTTACAGTAAATGCAAACCCAATGTGGCCTGACACTGAGGAAAGTTAGAAGACTAAGAGACATAAAATGCATGAGTTATTTTTTACATTAGGTAGCAAACCGAGTTCTCCTTTAACCACTTAATTACCTTTGGCTGACAGGAAAAAACATTGCTATGAAAATTAGTCTTATCTTTATTATGGATGTGTCCCTGAAGATGCTGATGCACTGACTTATATATCCATGTATGAAGCCTGGAAGCAATGAAATAATTCTACCTTGTGAGCAGCTGCAAAGGTTTTGTACTATTGCCAAGGATTTATTATGTAGTTTAACGGTCATTACTTAGCATCATCTGCTCTTTTTATACATTCTCTATCACCATGCCCATTTTCCTCTTTCAGCCTTATTATCTTATGTATATGAACAACGCATATAAAAGGGTGACAGGGAGTGGAAATCCAAACCAGCCCCAGCTGGCCACGGGCAAGTCAAACAGCACTTGTGAGCTCAGCTACAACAGGGCAGCAGATGCATCCTCTCCAAGTCAGGGTTTCCAGAAAGCAGCAGGTCATCTTGCACCTCCCATCACCAGGCTGGGGTAGCAGCCCTTGTAAATTTTAATTCTACTCGGTGCTATTTTTCAATGCATTTCCTGCTCTGGAAGGATTAAAACCTCTTCTCAGTGTAGGATGTTCACAGGCACAAAGAACAGTTTGACTGAATTTTTTAAAAAGCTTTGAGATTTGGGGTAGCAGAAATAAAGACTCTTCATGAGTTCTGCATAACATCAAAGTGAGCAATGAAGTACAGAGGACAGCTGCTGGTTGAGTTCCCCCTCTGCTGCAGCCAGCTCAGTCCCACGTGCATGGCAGATTTTCCTCTGCCTTTCAGGGACGGTCTGACAGAGCTTCAGGCTAGCACCAAGAGAGCTGTTTATTCTGTATGAGGACATACACGTACAGTCAATGTAATAGTTTCATTAAAAAAACAATGTAAAAGATCCCTTATTATTTGTAGGTTAGTTTTCCTTTTTTCTGCTTGTCATACATCAGACTTCCTAAAAAAAATGTGGTCATTTCTGTCAGCTGCACAGCACTGACTGGCATTTCGCTAGGGCTGTGGGGAAGCCCAGGTGTGAGCTGGGTGCAGGGTTCCAAGGTTTCCTGTCCCAGATGAATTCAATCAGTGCACCCTAGCTGAAATGTCAATGGAGCAACGCTAAAAATGGTCCCGGGCACTCCTGGTCTGCACAGCGTTGAGCGTTTCCATGTCTGCAGGGAAAGACTTTTGCTGCACAAAAGGCTTTGAAATTCAGCTTGCAGAGGCTGTTCAGCTAAAGAGCCTCTGCAGGCCCCCAGAGGGGAGGTGGGAGCCTTAAGGAGAAGCAGACCCCATTGTCTGCTGAACCCATCATGCTCCAACACTATGGAGCAAATGCTCCTGATCAGCAGGAACAGCAGTGTCCCAAGGGCTGTGACCCCATGTAAAACAAATTGGGTTCGCTGGGAAGCCTTGCTGAGAGCAGAGGTGAGGATGTTATGGACAGAAAGGAAATTCTCAGTGTGCCAGTCCGCAGGGGAAGACAAAGTACCAGAGAAAGGAGAAGCACCAATAGCCCAGGACAAACCCATATCATCCCAAATCTGGCTGGTGGGTGCCCAGAGGTGATCTCTTAATTGTTTATGTTCATATGTGGTGCTGAAGGAGAGTCTTTGCTGGGCAGCCTCCAAATCAGACAGACCATCAAAACCAAGTGCTATTTCAAGGCCCTGTTTTGGAGACACTCCGGGGGTTAGCAGGGAGGGCACTGCAGCTCTCCATAGCCCTGCTGCCACCAAGCTCAGTCCCAAGTCCTTCCTGAATTTCCCTTACCTTAAATCCGTGTGGAGCAGCAATGTGAAGCAGCACCAGCATAAGACCTTACAGTGCCCTCCCTCTAAAAACTCATGGTTGGGGACCATGATACGTCTTCCTTTTGCTGTTTGTTTCCATTTTTGAAAGTGATGCTGCTGAGAAAAGGCAAATGGAACGTAAGTTACCTGTGGCGATGTTTCCCTCTTGCTTCTAGGATCCCTCTGACCATGGACCTTGGTCTTCAATAGTAACCAGGTGCTGCTGTGCCCAGGAGCTGTGTGTTTCCTCTGCAGAGTGTCCTGCCCTCCAAAATCTTCAGCAGCAGTCACACAGGAGCTCAGCCTGCAACAGCCAGTCCTCACACCGTGACCCGGGTCACTGTTGAGCCTGTTGCACTAGAACTGAAATAAAGAGGGGGAAAAACAGAGATTAATCTGGAATAAAAGCATAACTAAATGGGGTGTGAAAACTAAATTGCCGTATCACAGCTTAGTGCCCAGCCCGGATCCGAGTATTATCAGCACTTACGGTACAACAAGCCATTGACTCATCAGTGGCATGACAGCTAACTGCTCTGCTGACAGGCATAAATCTGCCCTACCACTATTTTGTGTTATTAATTAGGAGAGGGGGGAGCTGCATTTGTAGCTTGTACAAGTGGCTCATCTACTGCCTAATGTGAGCAGGTTTATTCGGCTTGAAGAATCATCTATTTAAATTGTGCGGCAAGGTCAGAGCATGTGGGGAGCTTCATTCACTGTGGCATTTTGATGGTGGCTGTGCAAGTCGTGAGCTCACCCACCATATCGGTATTTCCCACTCATCAAACAGAGCAGTAAATAAACTTTTGATTCATAATGGGCATACGACGGAAGCAAGCTGAAAGTCTGCCCTGGACAGCTCTAATTAAAGGATCAGGAGTTAAGGTGCGAGGCTGCAGAGGGACAGCAGTCAGTATAAACCTACTCAGTCTCTACAGAAATATTTATCACTTATCTCCAATATTTTTGTGTGTGTGTCTGTGTTTGATCAATATTCAGGATCGCCTCCACTTTACCTGCAGCCTGTGCAAGATGCTAAATTGGCTTTTCTCTATTACCGTACCAACGGCGTGTTTGAAATTGAACATCTCTGTAATTGAGCAGAAATTACTGGCAGACCAGGTCTGTCTTGATCAGTTTGCAAAACCCTCCACATTAATCATATTAAAGGCATCCCGGATGAACAAATCAGCAAGGCAGGCAGCGCACTGGCTGCCTTGCAGAAAGTTTTCCCCTGCTCTCTTGCTCCTGGCAGCCCAGACCCAGGGCTGGCTGAGTGAGCCAGCAGCAGGAGCTCGCACACATCCCACCAAACTCAAGCAGCACCTACCCACAGCAGATGAGGCAGATACCTCCACAAATCGCTTTCTGACCCTGACAGAGTTTGGCTCGTGGTCCTGGTCCTTGCTAAGACAGGAGTTCTCATGTTTGCCTCCTCCAGCCCCTCCGCTGCCCACCAGTCCTTCTTGCTTGGCCTCAGGCATTCCTCATTCAGTCCCAAGTTCTCTTTTCCTTCTGGTGACTCCTTTTGCTCAGGATCTTTATTTCTGATTTTGACAATCTCTAAATTATGTCCTTAAAATAAACCTCACAATCAGCAATATATAAATTATAATTTCCTTCTCCACATGCTTCAACTATTATCTTAATCAAGCAATCATATCACTTCACATATAGCCCCTCATTATCCAAGTCGTGCCCTGTTTGTATTATGCCATCCTTATCGGGTGGCACACCAAACAACTGGCAGGTCTTTGGCACTAACACAATCCTGAGTCCTTACATACCTACCAGCTCCTTGGTGCTGCAGGACTGATCTCTGCGTAAAGCCCTGGCAGCCGGGTGATCCCCAGGTGCTGGGATGGTTTCTTACACGAACCCATTATCTGATGTTTTCCACCCCATTATCTGATGTTTTCAACCAACATTAAAAGAAGGAAGTTATCACTCTGCTGAACACCCAGCAAACAAGGCTATCACTTGATCTTCTAAAGGAAGCTCTCTAGAACCAACTGGGCTTTGCTGGGACTGCTTGCACAAGAAGAGTTGGCAACGTTGGGGTTTTCCATTGCTGGAGATAATACAGAAAGCATAAATCCTCCCTGAGCTGGCCATGCTCAGGGGACACCACCCTTCAGCTCAGAAGCACCAGGCACAGGACACCTCCCTGATGCTGCCTCCTTACCTCTGATCACACCAAGCAGCCAGCAGTGGATCCTGTGATGCTTTTCCATGCAAGCACTGCCCAGAAGGAGCACACCATCGTGGAGACTCCCCATCTGGATGCTCGCAGCCAGCCCGCCCGCTCGCCCGGCGCCAGGCCTGCTGCCGTGCATCAGTAATGAGCAGCAGCAGCCTTCAGTTTGCAGCCGGCTAATTTGTTCCCACAATCAGGACTCCAAATACCACATGAATAATTCAGCAAGTTATTTTAACTGTAGTTAGATAAGCCCATTAGCCATCATAAATTTAAATACATTTGCTTGTCCTCGCACGTGAAGGTGCAAAGGCAGAGCGCCTCGCCAGGTGAGATGTGCCTCTGGGCAACACGTGTCATACCTGGCGAGTCAAACCCCTTTGGCACTGTGCCCTTTAATACTGTGCCCTTTTAATATTGCTGAGCAATATTAACAAATAGACTGAGGTTTATAATTAGAAGCAAGAACAAAAATAGTAAATAATATTAAAAAAAATGAGTTTTCCAGGGCTAAGACACTCTTAGACTATTAGAAATTAGGATCAGGTATTGGGAGGCAGAAGTAGGTTCTCTCATGCCTACTTGGGGTCGGCTTCTTAACACGTTCAAGAGAAGCATCGAGGATCCACCACTGTATAAAAGAAGGTGTCAGGCTTGCTGTGAGCTGCAGCAGGGCCGTTGGGGTGATTCTTAACATCTCTGCACACACACCGCTACCTATGGCTGGAAGATGTTGAGCAGCACCTTAACATCACTGACCTAAAGAAGGAGTTTTAAATGAACTTGGTGCAGGTACAGAGCGAGCTTACCTGCAAATATTGCTTAGGAAGCATAAAGAATGAAAAGGTATTTTTCAGTCTAGTTGTCCAATTTCTTTTCACAAAACACGACAAAGGATATGAAATCTCCGTGGAAGGGAGCCAGCCTGTAGGTTGGGATTATTCTGATTTCTGAAGCAAACGCGGAATGGCAACAGCCTGGTATCTGTGGGCTACACAGCCAGGCTCAATAACCTGGAAAATGATGGACTTTTTCCTCCAGATACATTACTACCTACAATACCTGGCAGATAGGCACTCGCATCAATCACGGCAGTAATTCTCTCTCTCGCATCCTTGTCCAGGGGTCTGTTGCCTCAGCAAGGGACATTTCCAAGGTCAGGACGTTGCCCTGCCTGGGCTGCACGTGCCCAAGCAGAATGGCTGCAGGTGCTGGGGGATCTCAAAAAGCTTAGGATGGAAATAGAAGCCAACACCACACTTAACCTCGCTGGGAAAACCCATTAGTCCTCTGTACAACACAAAATGTGCAAGAGAGCGGCTCAGTCGCAGCATCCTGAAGACACGGGGGCACGTGAGGGCTCACAGATGCTTTCCAGCCCTTCCTGGTAACTCATCTTCCCAGCCCTTATTTCTGTCCTTTGCGTGCCTTTCTCCTGCCCCGTCTCCCATCACTTTGCAGCTCCTCCTGTGCCGTTCCCCTCGCTCAGGTCTGTCCTTCCCTCGGTTCTCCAGCCTCCTCTCCTGCCAGTTCTCATCCCTAACTTTCCATCTCCGGTCTGCCCCTGGAGAGCTGAGAAACGGGACGTTCTTCCTGACCTTCTCCTCCATTTCTGAGCCCATTTAATCTTTCTGTGGCCCCACTTCCACTCGCAGCTGTGTTCAATATCCGCAAGCCCCCTCCCGTACCCCCAGGCACCCAGCCCAGAGCTCTCCTTTTATCCCCCCCCCCCGAAGGCAGAGGCACCCCCCAGCAAAGCCCCCGGCCCCCCGGGCAGACTGTTGTGATCCTCAGTTAATAAATATTAGCGAAACGCACAGAGCCCTGCATGGAAACTGTGGTGGAGGTGTCGGCTGCCACGTCCCATTAATTTCTTATTATCTTATAAGGGCTCCACTGGAGCCTAGAGGACTGCATGAATAGTACATGAATCTGGAGAGCCTGCTGTCAGCCTCACCTTCAGCTCCAAACTGTTTGTGGGAAGCCGGGATGGGACGGGAGCAGCGCCCAGCCAGGCAGCATCCAGGGGTGCAAGGGCACAGGCACTGCGATGTAATTACGTTGTTTAATTAAGCAGAAAGCCAAAGGTGAAGCAAGCATCCTGTCCCACCCTGGGGAAGGTGTGGGAAGGTGATGGGCGCTGTTCTGTCTGTGCAGGGGCTCCTCTGTCGAGGTGAGGCAGCTCCCACCTGCCTGCAAGCAGTCCGGGCACCTCACCGTGTCATCCTGAAGGAAAACTGTAGCTCTTCTGGGCAGTTCTCGTTGAGTGTTCATGTGGCTGCAACACGGGAACATCTCTCCCCAGGAATAAATGGCAAGTGGGATCTGAAACCAGCATTTTTAGCTACAGCTGGCGTTGATTTTATATCGGTAACAGTGCTCAGATCAGCTAACCTGCTAAGAAACACGGCGCTTTAACAACCCCAGCACACCTCTGACCACCACAAGTACAGCCCAGCGATGCCAGGGAACTCCACACCGGCAGCAGGGACAAAATCTTCACTACCCTCCACCAAAACCATGTGCTCCTGTCCCCCTGGAGGACAACCTGCTGGGTGTGAGCCATGCAGGGCCAAGGGCATCCAGGGAGCTGCTCCTGCAGCCAGCAGAGAGCACCCAGCACCGCAGAGAGCAACCCCTGCTGGCACCCAGCAGCCTGCTCCTTCATGGACCCCACCAACCTGAGCCCCTGCGTCCCTCCCAGTGACTCTGCATCGGCTTTGGCACACGCGGGGCGAGCTTGATGTGCTTTCCTTTCCCAGCCGACATTGAAATAACTTTGCGGCAGGCAAGCCACGACGCCCCGTGCTCCGTTTCCCTCCCCCGAAAGAGAAAGCCTGTGCAAAGCACTTTTCTCCATCCAAACATATCATGGAGATGCAGTAAGCATCTTTGCTTCCTAATTGAAATCATACATCACTTTCTTAAGTGATACTAAATCAGACACGCACACCAAGGCAGTTCAAGCACTAACAAACAGCTCCTGCTCCCGAGACAACAGGTCCTGGGCTGGCACAAGCACACAGCTGTCCCCCGGCCAGCCCTGCTCCTGTCCTGGGGCTGCAGCACAAATCAGAGCCACCGATGAGTCCCTGGGTCGGCTGCAGGGTGGCGGAGGAAGCAGCACGGTTGTTTTGTGCATTTTGGGGGGGAATCACCATGC